AAGCTGTCTACGGCGATTTCTTGGCGATTCTATGAATTGAATAAAATGTTTGTTTTTATTTTTAATGTTAGTATGTTTTATGTTTTTCATTCTTAATGTTTTAATTGTATGTTAAGTTTGTTTTTTTCAAGTTTTTGTAACTTTGTAATTTTCTTATGTTTTCAATGTTAATGTTATATGTTTTATTTTAATTAAAACTTTAATATGTTTTTACTTATTAATTTAAATGATTAATATTTTAAATATAAAATATTATTATTTTATTCATGGGACCAATTGTGAGGGACACCAATGCTCGTACCAAACTTAAAAAACTCTGAAAATAATCTTATTATATTTGAGGGACCAAAATGTGTCCTACACCATTGCTCATGGTCTTAGATCTCCATACAACTAGCACTTTTTACACTTTTTTTTTACTCTGATCCCAATCCATCGTGGGATAAATTTATGTGAAATGAGAATTAAGAAAGAGGGGTGAGCAATCTAACATTGCTCGGTGTATAACGTTCTATATACATAGATCAATATCATTGATATCACAATATCAATATTAGTACGTACTTCAATAATATCATCCACATCATAAACGAGATTACGTAATCTAATTTTGCTATAATTTAAGAGTTTATTTTTTATTTTGGAGGGAAGAGGCAGCTAAGGTTTTCCAAGAAGTTTCGTATATTAGCTCTACCTCTTATCCCTTCCCTCTACCTCTTATCCTTTGTCTCTCTATTTCCACTGTCCTTTTCAAGTTTGACAATGAATATTTTTATCTTTTTATTTTCCCAAAACCAAAATACTGAAACTCCAAAACAACACAAAATATAAAATCTAAAAGGGCTCATCCAAAATGATACTACTACATAAAATTTATGAATTCTTTTTAAACATAAATTTTGTGGTATTTTTGGAGTTTTTACAAGTATTTATATTTGTAAGAAAAAAAAAACTTGTATGTTTTAAAATCCATCAAAAGTTTTACAACAATTCAGAATAATTCTTTTATTTTATAGTTACTTTCCAAGATCATTCCTCTTTGACGTCCCTTTCCTTCCTCTTGTGTGTATATATATACATGTAAAAAATAGGGGAACTTAAAAAATGACATAAAGTTCCTCAATCTTTGGAGAAAGATGATGATTCCTTCAGAAAAAACTAATAATACCTTTCTAAATTACTTTGTCCTGTTCGTTTGGGGTATTTTGTTGATGGAGGTTGGTTTAGGACAAAACCAAATACGTGAAATCAAAGTAGGAGTAGTTCTTGATCTCCAAACTAATTTTTCCAAGATCTGTCTCACTGCCATTAACTTGTCCTTGTCCGATTTCTACAAGAATTATTCTAATTACAGCACAAGACTTGTGCTTCATGTCAGAGATTCCATGGAAGATACTGTTCAAGCTTCAGCCGCAGGTTCGATTCTTCTATCTCTTTAATTTCTTCTCGGTTATAAGGAATTATTAGTACTAGCTAGGTGTTGTATTGATAAGTCTGACCAATCTTTTACATGATCTTAACTTAGCTTCTCAGCTTTTTTTCATTCATTCAAGCAACTATCAACATATAAATTTTACGACTGAAAAGTTTATTTAAACAGGAAGTTCAATCCTAGAATGACAACATCCCGTTAAATAAAAAAGATAAGATATAAATATCTGAACTTAATTGTTTGGTTGGAAGAGAGATGAATCATTCTGTTGACTATTCAGAATCCAAATATCCTCTTATGTGGTCTGTATTTAGAGCAAGGTATATTGAGTAATATGTCATGTGATACCTTTACAATAAAGATTTTAACTCTTGTGTAGATTATTATTGTCTCATTAATTATCATCAACTCTTAAACTACTGCTGTTAAATTTAGTGAAATTCTAAACTTTTTTTTCTTTGTGTTTGCTTGTGGTGCAATCAGCCTTGGACCTAATCAAGAACGAGCAAGTGAGCGCCATCATCGGACCAAGAAACTCTATGCAAGCAGAGTTTATGATCAGACTCGCCAACAAAACTCAAGTACCAACCATCACATTCTCTGCAACAAGTCCTCTTTTAACATCCATTAAAAGCGATTACTTCGTCCGAGCCACTATCGATGACTCATACCAGGTCAAAGCCATTGCAGCCATTTTTGAATCCTTCGGATGGAGAAGTGTCGTCGCAATTTATGTGGACAACGAGTTAGGTGAAGGAATCATGCCTTACTTGTTTGACGCTTTACAAGACGTGCAAGTCGATAGAAGTGTGATCTCCCCGGAGGCTAACGATGACCAGATTCTAAAAGAACTTTATAAGCTCATGACGAGGCAGACTAGGGTTTTCGTTGTCCACATGGCCTCACGTCTTGCTTCACGGATTTTTGAGAAAGCTAAAGAGATCGGGATGATGGAGGAAGGGTATGTATGGTTAATGACCAATGGAATGACGCATATGATGAGACATATCAACCATGGTCGTAGCTTAAATAATATAGAGGGCGTGTTAGGTGTGAGGAGCCATGTCCCCCAATCGAAAGAGCTCAAAGATTTCGGCTTGCGATGGAATAAAAAGTTCGAAAAGGAGAATCCAACGATGAGAGATGATCTAACCATTTTTGGATTACGGGCGTATGATTCAACCACTGCATTGGCCATGGCCGTGGAGAAAACCAACATAAGAAGCTTTCCGTATGATAATGCGAGTGCGTCGTCAAATAACATGACAGATTTGGGGAACCTAGGTGTCTCTCGCTACGGTCAAAGTCTTTTAAATGCTCTCTCGGAAATAAGATTCAATGGTTTGGCAGGAGAGTTTAAACTCATAGACAAGCAGCTCGAGTCACCAAAGTTTGAGATCATAAATTTTGTAGGAAATGAAGAGAGGATTATCGGATTTTGGACACCGAGCAATGGACTTGTGAATGCAAATTCAAACAAAACAACTTCATTTACAGGGGAGAGGTTTGGTCCATTGATATGGCCAGGGAAGTCGACTATTGTTCCTAAAGGATGGGAGATACCAACTAATGGTAAGAAGATCAAAGTCGGTGTTCCTGTAAAGAAAGGCTTCTTCAATTTTGTGGAGGTAATCACAGATCCTATAACTAACATAACAACTCCAAAGGGTTACGCCATAGACATCTTTGAAGCTGCTCTTAAGAAGTTGCCATATTCAGTCATTCCACAATACTACCGTTTCGAGTCTCCCGATGATC